GATAGATAGATAGATAGATAGATAGATAGATAGATAGATAGATAGATAGATAGATAGATAGATAGATAGATAGATAGATAGATAGATAGATAGATAGAAATGACATTGTGTATTCTGTGTTAACAGGTTTTTCTCCGGAATTTTCATCGTGACTGCTAATAAATGTGTTTACAGTGTTATGTCAGTCTTCAGCGGCGTTTCAATGCTTAAGTTCACTTCTGCATTTCTTTTTTTCTTTCTTTTTTTTCCCGAAACTGATAGGAAAACAAACATTGTACATAAGGGAGAAATAAGACGCAAACATTTCTTTTTAAAAAAAGAAAAAGAAAATGAAATCGGTTAATGACGCATTATGTTGATTAAAGATAATATGACATTTGAAAACAATCGTATTTCGTAGTTTTTGTTGTTTATCTCTTTGTTGATGACTTTGTGGGAGCTCTCGTGGCCTAGAGGTTAAGGTGTTCGCCTCTCATTCAAAAGGTGCCGGGTTCGAATCCGGGTAGCGACCGAAAAATTTTCTTCTCTAAATTGGTCTCCTTTCACCTCATTTCCTGCTCTCTAGTAATGTTCTGTCATCTGCTTTCGTCTCCTCTTTCTGCCTCCACCCCTTCACCTACTTTGCACCTTCCTCTGTGCTCCTGATTCTTTCTGCAGCATTTCTACTGCTACTCCTTCGTTTCTTTTTACGGCTGTCTTTCAGCCACACCCCTGATCTTCTGGTAGGAAAGATCTACATCTAGCCTTCTCGGACAAGGGTGAACAATCTCGGAGGGCCCGTGTGCAAGTTGCGCACGTTAAAGATCCCTTGGTGGCATAAAATCGATAAGAGTAGGCTTCGGCCGCCACCCGGGCAAAATTCAAAATTTCCTTCCAACTGAAAATATTACGTGTGTCCCGCGCGCTCATATGACCTTATGCAGTTGCGAGCGCCGTAAAACACTTTTCAAAAACAAACAAACAACGATGACTTTGTTGTTGTATTTGCTTCCCTCTGACTGTTGTTACAGGTATCACTGGACTAATTAGTTGTGTTGTTCTTTTTGCCTCCTGTTATTTATTCAGCTGTTTGTGTTGTTGTTTTATTGTTATTTTTATTGTTGCTTTTGTTTTTGTTGTGTTGTTGTTATTGTTGTTGTTGTTATGGTTGTGGTGGTGGTGGTGCTTTGTGGTGGTGGTGGAGGGAGGGGGAGGGGTTATGATGGTAGTGGTGGTAGTGGTAGTTGTGGTGGTGGTGCTGGTGGTGGTGGTGGTGGTGGTGGTTGTGGTAGTTTTTTTTTCGTTGTGGTAGTGGTAGTGATGTTGGCAGGGCGGTGTGTTGGACCAAAAATACAATATTTTAAAAAAATAAGTACATGTAGTAATGTATATTGTTTCTCTGATTTGGGGCTTTCTTGTTGCTGTTTTGTAATTTATTGCTGCTGTTGGCACGGTTTAAAAACCAGTTAAAATATCTTTAATTGATTTTCCCACCACCTTGATCAATGGATTGTCGTAATCTTGATAACACTGTAGAGAGATGGGGTTGAAAAAAAAAGACAAAATAAGAGAGATGAGAGGGACAGAGAGAGAGAGAGAGAGAGAGAGAGAGAGAGAGAGAGAGAGT